GGCTCAGGCAATCCACTCACCTCGGCCTCCCAAAGTGCTGGGATTATAGGCTGAGCCACCGAGCCCGGCCTCCAAACATAATTTGTATCTCATTACCCTCCTTACAAAGATAAGAAACCATACAAGGTTTACTTGGGTTGAATGACTTAAGCAAAAAAGCAACTAGGAGACTGCATTCAAACTTATGTCACCAGATTTTATTTTATCTTTTTTTTTTGAATTGGAGTTTCACTCTGTCACTCAGGCTGGAGTGTAGTGGCATGCTCACAGCCACCGTAGCTTTGACCTGCTGGGCTCAGGCAATCCTTCCCCTCAGCCCTCCAAATAGCTGGAACTACAGGAGTGCATCACCATGCCCAGCTAATTTTTTGATTTATTGTAGAGATGAGGTCTCACCAAGTTGCCCAGGCTGGTCTCAAACCCGACTGCCCAGGCAATCCTCTCACCTCAGCCTCCCAGAGTGCTGGATTATAGGTGTGAGGCACCACACTTGGCCATGTCATCAAATGCCATTCTCTTTTCAATATATTATGATCTGTTATATAGTAACAACAACAACAGTGACACAAGAGTGATAACAGCAGACATTTACTAAGTGCTTTCATGTGCCTGGAACTGCTGTAAGAAATCCTCTTAACAAGTTTGTGAAGTAGATACTAGCAATATGGCCAAAGTTACACATCTAGGAAGAGAAGCCACTATTCAAACTCAGGAAGCCTGGCTTCGGAATTCACAATCTAGCATGCTAAGTTGCCTCTACTCATACATGTACATAATCATGTATACGTATAGAATACTTTTAGAAGGAAACTAAGGCACAAGGAGACATGGAAACATTTTTTCACTGTGCACCCTGTATGTATTTCTTAAAGACTAGGGAGTGGAATGGGATGTGGGTAGAGGGAGTATTACAGACATGGAATTCCAGAAAAAAGGCACAGACTCAAGAGAATCTGGAAGTCTAACAGAAAAATTATTGTTTAAAAAAAGTCTAGGGGGCCTGAGTATTTATTTGCTGTGCAAGGCTGAGGGAGGACAGAAGTCAGTATCTATGCAGTTTTAAACAGCAGGCTACAAATATCCCTCTGATATCCTAAAACTTGAATCTTCCCCACCAGAGGGGAAAGCCACCTAAGTTTATGGGCAGGAGTTTAAAGGGGGGAAAAAAGCTCTGGAGCACTGTGTAGGTTGGAACAGAGAAATGAGAAACAAGAGAAGGAAATCCATTAGGAGGCAAGGAAGTAAACTTTTTAAAAAGTACCTGTTACTGCTTCTTAGTCATTAGCAACCCTCAAGACACATTACCTTCCCTCAAAATGCAGATAAAGATGTCAATCCCAGTGCCCACAACAGTATTTGGGAAATAGCAGATGTTCAATAAATATTTATTGACTGAAAGAAAAAAAATGGCTGGGCCTGAATCCAAACCTAGACTTTGTCTAACACTAATGCCTGTAGTATTCAATCATTACCTAATTCAGGCAACCTTTTAAAATCTGGTGAAAATGGAGCCGTGTATGGTGGCTCATGCCTGTAATCCTAGTACTTTGGGAGGCAGAGGCGAGAGGATCGCCTGAGCTCAGGGATTCGAGACCAGCCTGGGCAAGGTGAGACAGCGCCTCTACAATAAATCAAAAAATTAGCCGAGCGTGGTGGCATGCACCTGTAGTTCTAGCAGGTTGAGGCTACGATGGCCATGAGCATGCCACTGCACTCCAGTTTGGGTGACAGAGGGAGACTCCGACTCAAAAAAATCTGGTGAGAATGGGACTAGGCCTTTGGATTGAGGGCTAATCTTAATGTAAGGGACATAGTTATCAATGTTGCTGG